CAAGGATTCTCCATGTTGCTTTCCAGATTGGTTGCACCCATTTGCACTCCCACCAGCAATGTATAAGTGCACCTTTCCTCCCACATCCTCGCCAACACTTATTGTTGTTTGTATCCTTATTGTTGTTTGCCATTCTGACTGGATTGAGATGAAATCTTAGAGTACTTTTGATTTGTTTAACACAAATCAATTTAACTTCTCTAATTTACTAGAGAAGTTGATCATTTTTTCATATATTTATTGATTGATTGTATATCTTCTTCTGAGAAGTATCTGTTCAGCTTCTTAACCCATTTGTTGACTGGGTTGTTTGTGGGGTTTTTTGGTGTTATTTTTTTGAGTTCTTTATATATCCTGGAGATTAGTTCTCTATTTGATGTGCATGTGGCAAAAATGTGCTCCCAAAATGTAGGCTTTCTTCTCCTCAATCATTGCTTCTTTTGCTGAGAAGAATTAGTATTGTAAAAAATGGCCATACTACCCAAAGTGTTATACAGATCCAATGAGATTCCAATTTCATTCCTTATAGAAGTAGAAAAATCAGTCCAAAAATTCATTTGAAAAAAATAAGAGACCCAGAATAGCCAAAGCAATCCTTAGCAAGAAGAGTGAAGCAGGAGGCATCACAGTACCAGACCTTAAACTATACTACAGAGAAACAGTAACAAAAACAGCATGGTATCAGCACCAAAATAGGCATGTAGACCAATGGTACAGACTAGAGGACACAGAGACAAATATAGTTAACAAATAGTTATCTCATACTAGACAAAGGCGCCAAAGCCCTACATTGGAGAAAAGCTAGCCTCTTCAACAAATGGTGCCGGGGAACCTGGAACTCAAAGTGGCTCAAGGACCTAGGAATTAGACCAGAGACCCTATGCCCAATTGAAGAACAAGTAGGCCCAAATCTTCATCATGTTGGATTAGGCTCTGACTTCCTTAACAAGACTCGTAAAGCACAGGAAATAAAATCAAGAATCAATAAATGGGATGGATTCAAACTAAAAAGTTTCTTCTCCGCAAAAGAAATAATCAAAAATATGTTTTCTAAGACATTCCCCACAGATGTGACCACAGTGATTAACAGGAGGCCATTGCAGGACGGACTTGAGACCCTCTGACCATAGGTAGTGATATAGCTACCATGTACTTTAGGTTGTGAAGATTCTCTCCAAAATGTTAGTCTAAGACGGTGGTTCTAATTTTCTTGTTCTCTTCTGATTGAACAAAGTGTTTGCCACAATCATTACACAGTATATAAATCTTCTAATCATCTAATTTAAATTATTCTGCAAATGCCTTCACTTGGTCAATTCTTAAAGGTATTATGTAGCTATTTACCATGTCTTCCTTTGCCTAAGTAATGAAAATGTTGTTGCTTAGCCCATAATTGAAACAGTCATCTAATTTTAATTCCAATATTTGGCATTTTCTGCAAGCTGAACTTGGAGTTACCCAGACCTGCAGCAGAGCAGTGCAAAGATCAGGCTAGCATTCAGACACTGAGATTTTGGAAGTGTTTATTACTGCAGCATAATTGGACCTAACCTGACTGATGCAGAATGTAAACCTGATGTTGAATGTTTTTCCAGCTTGTCACTTATTTTTCTTTCTTCTCTTTGGCACCGGGGATTAAACCCAGGGGCACTCAACCACTAAGGCACATACCCAGCTGTTGTTTGGGGTATTTTATTTAAAGACAGGGTCTCACTGAGTTGTTTATGCTGGTATTTTATTTAAAGACAGGGTCTCACTAAGTTGCTGAGGCTAGCTTTGAACTCATGATCCTCCTGCCTCAACCTCCCAGATACAGGAGTGAACCACCAGGCCCAGCTCAGACTCTCACTTTTGGTGATTTCTTTTCTGGAAGATCTTATTGTAAGTTCAATATGGAAATTCCAGGGACTGAAATCAAATGACTTTACTCCGGGGAGGGTTTGCATATGTAAGAGGCGGGTGCTGGTGCTATTGTAGCGAGGCCACATTAGCCCCATCCTGGGATCTCTGGCTCCATCTGCAACTTAGGTCCCAGAGGGCATGGCAGACATCTTCATGTGCAACTAGGCTTCACTTCGAGTTTATGGCTCACAGTTCCCATTTCACTTTATGTTCTGTTGTGTTATTGATTTTTTTTTGTATTTGGCCCTCATTTCCTGCCATCCAAGTCACGTTGTTTTGTTGAGGAAGCACCCCTGTGTGCTAAGCTCTTAAACAGAACACATCTACACAGAACCTGAGCTGTGGCCTTTCTCATTGCCTGTTTCTTAAAGCACATCTCTTGACCACAGCCCCGATACCTGGCCCAACTGACTGCAAGAGCAGT